CCCTTGAAGACGACCCGAGGCCGGGCAGGAGCATCGAGGTGATCACGCCAGAACTTATCCAAAAAGTCGAAAAAATTGTACTCGACGATGCTCGACTAAAGAAGAAACAACTCGCAGAAATGGTTGGAGTATCTGATACAACCATTTTTAGAATTCTGCACGATTATTTTGGCATGACAAAGGTCAGTGCAAGATGGGTGCCGAGAATGCTCACGCCGACGCAAAAACAGCAGCGCGTAGAGTGTTCATGTGCATTTTTAGACCTTTGTAATGAAGACAAGGATGCTGTATTGAGTAGAATTGTTACTGGAGACGAAACTTGGGTTCATCATTATGAACCTGAGTCGAAACAAGACTCCATGCAGTGGCATAAAAAGGGCACAGCACCTCCCAAGAAGTTTAAGGTGTCACAGTCAGCTGGGAAACTCATGGCAACGGTCTTTTGGGACTAAGAAGGAATATCATTGATCGATTATAAAGATAAAGGTGTTTCTATAACCAGAGAATACTACGCTTCAATATTAGAGCGAATCAAAGAAGCCATTAAAGAGAAAAGACGGGGAAAATTGACAAAAGGTGTGTTGCTTTTGCACGACAACGCGCCCGTCCACAAGAGCCGCGTTGCGTTGGCTGCCCTGCATAAGGTGGCCTTCGATATTTTGAATCACCCACCCTACAGCTCAGACCTGGCCAGACCAAACCAACGATGATGAAGTCAAGGAGGCAGTTTCGGCGTATTTTGAAGACAAAGAGAAAACATTTTTTTATGAGGGTATAAACAAATTAATTGAAAAATCTGAAAATGTATCCGTCTTGCAGGTGAATATATTGAAAAGGAAAAATAATTTGGTTTTTTTATTTCCACCCCTTATCCCCCATTCCGCGAACATAAAAACGCTCCCTCGTATATGCAGCAAAATATCATTTTTCCAGCTTCCCATTTGACAGACGAACGGCCAGAAAAATACGCTTTAACATTTAAACGTCATGTTTTAAGAAGATTACAAACATGATTGCAAACGTGATACCACAACATAAGTTACGAAGTCATATTACAAGAGCAACTAATCAGACCTACGGTGTTTAACGCCATAACTGGGTGCTTCTGCCTCGATTAAAATAGATAATGAACTGAATATACTCCACTGCAATTAGGATTGACAGAAAAAAAAGGTATTGATCCTTTCGCCAAATGTATTTAAAACCTCCTTATCACATTATACATATGTATACATTTTTCTTTGATGTATACACAAAGAACATTATGGGCTGAGACAAGGTCACATCCGAATTAAGTGGGCGGCCTCGGTTGGCCTCTGTCTTCAAACAGAGGCTCCACCAACACGTGCGTGCGACAGCTACCCTCGAGTCAGGAACCACCACCTAATGAACCTCCGCGAGGGAGACCAACAATTCCAAGGTGACGTTGGGTTTCTGGTAAGTTCCTTTCTGACAACGTTGTGGAAATTTCCAGTGTGTCGAACAGGCGTACTTCATTACCAAGCTCACCGAGAGGTATAGCCTCAAGGGTGTGCAAGTGTACGCACCGACCTCGGCATACTCGGACGACGAGGTGGAGGATATGTTCGATGATATTTTGAGGGCCCACTATTTCACAACTAAGACACACTACATCGTTGTTATGGGTGACTTCAACTCAAAGTGAGAGTACGGAATTACGCCGAGTCGGTAGTAGGATCCCATGGATTTGGAAGCAGGAATCATAGGGGGCAAATGCTCGTCAGCTTCCTCGAACGGGAGGAACGCTATCACTAGGAATGAGATTGATTTCATCATGACGGATAGGAAGCACATATTCAGAGACGTCTCAGTAATCAATAGGTTTAATACCGATAGTGATCACCGACTTGTCTGAGGCTCTCTGTCATATGTCATATCAACTTTAAGGCTGAACGTGTCTGTTTGATGAAATCCAGGCTCCGACCAACTCTGATCTAAGCCATGACAGGATCTGAAATGTTCCAGTCAAAATTGGAAAGCCGATTCGCTGCCGTGGACACCACAGCAGCGAAGGGCAGAAAGTCGAAGCATTCAGAAGAGACCTAGAGAGCTAATGAAGCCGCGTGAGAAACGGCGTGAAAGCCCACCTGACACTTTGTCGGTAAAGCGGACTCTAAACCAAGAGATTAATAAGCTCGTACGACCCGACCTCCGGTGCTCCAATATTCTTTCAATTGGAAGAGTGATCGAGCAGAATCGGGGGTCGAAAGTTCGTACAATCTCTTGGAAGAAGCCACCTGACGAAGCTGGCCACAGCAAGTGGAGAAGTCGTTGCTTCAAAGTCGGCAGTCCTTTCGAAAGTGGACAGCTTCTATGGCCGGTTATACGCTTCACATGCATCTCGACCTGAGTCCGAAAACGAGGCTTCCAGAGCCACTACACCGAAGACCTGCCAGAAGTCAACACTGACGAAATCGAGATGGCTTTTAAACAGCTATAAAATGGAAAAGCCCCTGGAGAGGATGGCGTTACAACAGAGCTGCTAAAAGCCGGAGGTAAACCCGTAAAAGGAGCTCGAAAAACTTTTTAACGGAGGCATGTGTCACGAACCGTCTTGCTCGAAGACTCGACGAATTCCAACCACCGGAACAAGCTGGGTTTCGGAGAGGATTTGGTTACATAGATCACATATACACAGTACGGCAGATTATAGAGAAGACCGAGGAGTATAATCAGCCCCTTTACCTAGCATTCGTGGACTATGAAAAGGCCTTTGACCAGATCGAAATCTGGTCAGTTCTGGAGTCCCTGCAGCGTTACCAAGTAGTTGGTCGATACATCCAAGTGATGAAATGTCTCTACGAAGCCGCCACAATGTCCGTCCAAGTACAGAATCAGCAAACAAGGCCTATACCGTTGCATCGAGGAGTGCGACAATGGGACGTTATTTCCCCGAAATTGTTCACAAATGCAATGGAGGACATGTTCAACACGCTGCACTGGAAAGAGTGTGGCATCAATATGAATGGCGACTACATCTCTCACTTGCGATTTGCCGACGACATCGTCATTATGGCAGAGACGGTGCAGGACCTACAACAGATGCTGAATGACTTAGCTGACTCTTCTGTTCGCATCGGCCTACGGATGAACTTGGATAAAACCAAGGTCATGTTCAATGAACATGTACTACCGGAACCGATTGCGGTACACGGTGCAGTTTTCAAAGTTGTTCAAAATTATGTGTACCTCGGGCAGACATGGCAATTAGGTAGAAACGACTAAGAGGACGAGGTGAACAGACGAATTCAGATAGGTTGGGCAGCGTTCGGGAAGCTACGTCGAGTCTTTTCATCGTCGATCCCACGGTGCCTTAAGACGAAAGTCTTCAATAAGTCATGACATACGGAGCCGAAACATGGTCCACAAGTTCAAAGTCGCTCAACGTGCTATGGAAAGGGCTATGCTAGGCGTTTCTCTAAGGGATCGCATCAGGAATGAGATGATCCGGCAGAGAACCAAGATCACCGGCATAGCCTACCTAGAACCGACAACCGGTGGTGAAAACAAAGTCTTTAGTGGAGCCCGCATCTTGATTTATTCATTTGCTTAGTCTACAAAGACTAAGCAGAAACAAGTAAAAAAAAACTAACTTTAATATAATATTTTAGTCCATTTATTAGTCAGAGTTTTTTTGTTTTTTTTTAAAGGACAACTCCTGCTCTAGGACTATCTCCTGTGTCACATGGGACTTTACAAACATATATAAAACGAACACAAGGTGTTGTGCCATGTGGTGATCAGACCCACAACACTCCAGTTATCTGTGATTACTGTTTGTCAATGTTGCATGCTAACAGCAGATAAGATGTTCAAGTATAAATATCAATAAATAAAGAAATATATTGTTGTTGTCATAATTCTAATCTGTGATATCTTTTAGTAGTTCTTGTTTTTAGGGCTTCAGTTATAGTGAGAATTCTAAACAATGTTTGTATAATCTATACTAATATTATAAAGCTGAAGAGTTTGTTTGTTTGTTTGAACGCGCTAATCTCAGGAACTACTGGTCCGATTTGAAAAATTCTTTCAGTGTTAGAGAGCCCATTTATCGAGGAAGGCTATAGGCTATATATCATCACGCTAAGACCAATAGGAGTGGAGCACCAATGAAAAATGTTTCAAAAACGGAGAAAATTTATTACTATTGAGAGACGCAGACGAAGTTGCGCGGATCAGCTAGTATAAGTATAAAATAATAGCACCAATGATGGAGAAAGATGTTAAATTAGGATTGCACCAAGTTTTATTTTATTAAATTTACACATTTCAAAAATTGTCTAACAAAAAAAGAAATTGTGATTATTTTTTTGGTTCTATGGATTAAAATAAACATTGGTTCTTGTAACTTGTTTGTAACTTTCACAATAAGTGTGACATCTTTACATTAACAATATAAATAAATTGATGTAAGCTTATTATTGCATACTTTACCCAATTTAATTGTGCACCAGTTAGTATAACAGACATTATTTACTTACAATTTTATTTATCTGAGAAAAAAAAAAGGTTTTGGTGCTAAATAACCTATTGTTCATTTTATTGGTTTTGATGAAGTTATTCATGTTGAGTATACATGAACTAAACAAGCACACCATTCTTTCACTTATACTAATTATTGGATTTACTTTTGTGTGTATTTTGAGGATACTTTACAAATCCATACAAAAAATGTTTCCAAGTCCATACAAAGAAAATGTAATCCCAACGACAAGGGACAAAGTATGGGCTCTCACTAAAGATAATAATATCCATTCCTATCTTTAATAACTATCATAATTACTATGTAATTAAAAATGTACTTAGAAGTTCATTAAACTATCTACCTTCATTCTCAAATTCAAAATGGTTTTTAGTTGTAATACATTTTTGTAGGTTACTATTTACCTTTTCCTGTTAGTCACTTAACTTTGATAATAAGAGGATGAAACACATTCTAAACATGGCTGGTACATTGTAATAATAATAAAATTGCTTACCTGGTTTCTAATAGCAGCAACTTGTGTGAGTCCAAGCTGATTTTGTCCTTGCTGAAGAAACTGATTAGTGCCAGGCCCCAACATGCCAGCCTGGCTCAAATACATAAGGTGTTCAGTGCTTTTTCCAATACCATTCATGGCTTGCATAGGATTTGCATGATGTTGATGAATGTCATACAATCCTTGTTGACCCAATTGTGCAGCATTTTGAATACTTTGCAAAGGCTGCATCATCACTGCACTATTTTGAATTGTCAAGTTATTACCAAGAGTAGGGTTTTGCAGTGGTGCTAGTTGTGTATGAACCATGTTGGTTGTTAAATGAGCTGGGTGACTTCCAATTACTGAAGGATTTATAGCCAAAGTCCCAACAGATGAAGCAATAGCTTGATTAATAAACTGTTGTTGATTTGTTTGTGAATTTTTAAGTTGCACTTGACCTTGTTGATGCATATTATTCATTGTTATTGGATTTGGATTTTTCCATTTATCTTGATTCTGAAATAAAAAAACAAAACTGTCAGTTGAAAAGTATTGTTGTAATCCATTACTAAAATAAATAAAGGCAATTGTCACACAAATGTAACACAATTTAAGGTTATAAAAAAATACTAAACATATTACGAATATTTTGTAAACAAACCTCAGCAATACTATCGTCTCCAACGGCCCAACGTTGTTTCGGAGCTAGGGATGGAAGCTCTCCCTCTTGTGGCTCTCGTTGAAATACGTAATGTACTGTTGCATCGTCCTGACTTCGAGCTTGTGATGCACGCGTGCTCTGTAAGCCAGCTTCACCCGCCTCTTCTTCCCCTCCCGTTCCCGGCCACTTCATTGGGCTACCGTGAGGTTCGAGCATTCAGTTTGACAACACTTCGATCCTTTGTAACCGTAAACACAAAATGTCCAACGGTCTTCCCGTTTCAATTACAAGCGCTAATCTCAGTAATATTATAGCCAGAGGTGTAATTTACCTGCATTACATTATCCAACAGACTACACACGACAAACGGATCTTGTTATTAAATCCATTTAGCGATTAAATTTATCTTTTTGTCTTTGTAATGACAATACTTTTATCAAAGCACGATGACAGCCGCTAAGGGAAACCAAAATATTGCATCTACTGCAACGGTCTCCTTGACGGATTGAAACAAAGACAAGAAGTGAAATCAATGATTTCTAGGATACGAGACCTCAGAATTTTCGAATTTAGAAGTGTGAGGATGCTTGCAAATATACTAACATTAGGTACTAGCTATTTGTCGGCGTCGAAAACTGAACTGAATAAACACTCAAAATAATACACTATTCACACAATTTCTAAACAAAACGAGCACAAATATAATTACTATATGTACACAGAACTATTTACAATGTACAATTTTTACAAAAAACCCCGTTTATGCCATTGGCTGCTGTCGATACTTTCTGATTTAGAAAAGACGACAAACATTCTTCACTGCCTGTCCGCCATAATCGGTCGGTCGGGCACTCGGACAGATGCGATGCGCGCGCAACGCGCAAAACTATACTATAAACATAAATACATAATGCTAAATACGTTCCTCCATAAGTATGCTTAGATATAAATATCTCGTTTAATTAAAGTTTGTTTTTACAATAAAAAACAGTAATAAAATCGAGAAATTATATTGATAGATACCACATACTTCAATTTTATAAAAATCTAGTTTTGTACCAATAGATAAAGTTTTAGGTTCAAAATCAAAAAATATAAATGATTCTTTGAAGTACTTGAAAAAGGATAGGTAAGAAGTTCATGTTTCGAAGAAGTAATGATTTTCAGATTCATATTATTTTCGTTTATTAATTTTAATATGTCATCATATTATGTGGAACGAAACGAAATTTTGTTGTCAAATCAAAAGGCCACAGAATGTAAACATACCTCAGTTTTTAAAACTGAAACCCCCAGTACTATTGCCAGTAGTTAAAGATTTTCAAATTGTAGTGGATATTCAAGTTGACTTTGACTACCAACACCTGTATTCTAAGAACACTCATCTAATTCGTTATAGTTACTGTTGGTAACAGTGACGCTTTGAGTGTTTTTTGAGGGTAAAACTTCTTTACGCACGTTTAACTTGGGGAGTAAGCTGGTGAATGTAATTTTAAAGAAATTGGTATTATGATAGTCGCATCTTAATACACATATAAAAAATTAGTGTATATTAAGAAAAATATTCATTAATTTACAAAGTTTAGCAACATTCATAATATAAACACTAGAAATAAAGAAAAACTCGCGTTGCCAACAACTAGACTACAAAAAGTAAGCAAATCTTTTTGATGCGATGAATCAGGGTGTACGATTCTACAATAAAATGCCAAGCAAATTTCATGAATAAGGTATTAACGAGTTTAAGTCTTTAGTTAAACAAAAACTATGTAAAAAATGCTTACTACACGGTTATCGATTATTTAGATGACAAATTTGCTTGGGATTGATGCTGATCACTCCCACATTTGAAAGTGATGAACATTGAATTTTTTGTTGTAATTCGTATTTCGTTTGTTTCCAATTTGTTTACTTGAAATTTAATTGTAAAGTATTTTTTTGTGTTAGTATTTAAATGTGAGTATAGTGTAGACTTGTAATGTTAGTTCATATTTTAGTAACTTTCTGGTGGTTTTGAGTGTTTCCACGGCCTACTCAAGTGTCCTGCAGGCGGTAGTGTCATGTTTTGGGTTGTTGATCCTTATATCGGTTAGGCTACACAATGGCTGAAGCTCGTATGCCGTCTGTATGGACGGGCCGACTTAATACTATGGTCCTTTCTTCAGAAGGCCAACCAAGACCCTATACTGCACTTACATAGTACTCTTTAACATGGTTTACGGATTTAAAAAAAAAGACATCTCTGTGGTTTGTTTAGCGTTTTTTTCCCAGATCAAGTCTTAGGAAAGGCTGGCGTCTTCTAGCTGTATAGTCTGACTTGTAAAAATATCTCAAAAGATTTACTTGCAGAAATAAATATAATTTCATTTCAATGCGTGACGAGAGCGTTACGAAAAGTGTGATCGGGCGAGGTGAACGGAAGTTGAGAGGGAAATATAAGATAATGAAGATAGAAAGAGGGAGAGTTACGTTTCGTATATTACTGTAGGGGCAAGCGAGAGAGCTGCGAGCACACATGTTCTTTCTCTCTTTCTCTAATAGACAAGAAGTTTTACTTCAGTCGTGTGGTCTATAGCACTCGTTTTTTTTACAAATTAAACGCGAGTTCAATAATAAGTCAATTAATTCACTCCACTAATGTAATAGATCTTCGATGCTGGTTCCGAAAGGTCGGAGCTTGTGATTAATTTTACACCTCTTGTCTCCGACTTTTGATTCCGATAAAATGTCTGAGTTACGTCGACGTTCATAATATAGCGGCCAGCCTCGACGTCTCACTTACTGCGCTAGCGTTTTGTTTTTTTATGTAGGTATATTTTAATCAATGCAAGGTGTGTACCATTTAGTAAACCCAAATTGTAGTAGCTTGTTTTGGGTGTAAAAGTTATGTAGGCTTTCAAATATGGATAAATATCTTTAAGATGTAATGAAGCTAAAAACCAATGTTTAACGAAACCTTTGTTTAACATTACGATGTATACGTACATCGTATATGAATAAATACGTCTATGTCGTGCGTTGTTTCATGTGCAGTGTGCCCAGCTACTAGAGGAGTCTATCTGGTAGTCGGATGTATTGAGGATCTCAGCTTACGAGTAACGAAAAGACGGAGCCCTTTACTTTATGCCATTTTCTCCCGTTTTTTTGCAATGTAGTTTAATGCAAGTAGGAGTAAATCCTGTGTCGCGGCGGACTTTACAAACATATATGAAACGGACACAAATAACACCCAGACTCAGAACAACAATTTGTGGATCACACAAAGTGTCGTCCCATGTGGGGAACGGACCCATAACACTCAGCGTAGTAGTAAGTGGCGAGGCGACCGCTTAAACCACTACGCTATCTGTGCAGTCAAGTCTGTGGATACAATCATTCGAGTTTATCTCGTTACCGGTTATAATACGCTCTATGACCGGCAACGACACATGTTTTACCGCGATTGCATCTTTCTGCGAAGACAAGAATATCTCCACAGGGACCCAATACATCGGCGTCCCAGGCGTCAGAGGCGTGCCTGCCAGGGCCTCATGATGACGGATTTTCTTGATATAGGGGCCATCCGCAAGAAGGTGACGATCGCGTGTGCCTCGACGTCGCTAGAATGAAAGTTTTAGCCAAGGTGAAACTCGTGCTTTTGTGTCCGGATGTCTTAATTATTTTTTATGGTAGAGGGGCCAACGAGGAGACAGGCCACCTTATAGTAAGTGACTACCATCCCCCATGGACGCCTGCAACTTAAGCGTCACAAGTGCGTTGCGGCCTTTTAAGTCCCAGTCCCAGAAATAGAGGTAGGGGTTTGGGGCTTAGGTAACCTACTCACTCGAACGACATAAGAATTGCATAACATCAGTTTTCTGAATATTAGTAACTTTTTTTCTTGTTAGAGGGGGCAGACGAGCAGACGGGTCACCTGATAGATAGAGCCAAGACAGATCCCCCAAGTTTTGCCACAACATAACACTTACCCACACCTAAGTAACACTTTGCGGCATGGTCTATCAAATCGTGTAAATTTAATTAAACAACAAAAAGAGACTTCGTAGAACATCATATTTTATAAATAAACATTCCTTAGGTTAGTCTTGACTTTCGAAGGCTGTTAAGGTTCACCTCGGCATACCTAAGGACGCCTCGGTATACCTTAGGCTGCCGAAGACTTCCGTGGTATGCCGAGGTGTACCTTGATCTTGGCCATGCTGTGCCGATACTGGGCACCAGGCTTTACTATGAGATGTGACACTGTGTCTGACACAGTTTTTACGCTTAATATCAAGGTAATTATTTAATTAAAACAGAAAACTCGACTGCGTGAATACGTATACTTAAAATTTACAAACCGGCGATTTTAATTTTAAAACTGTCACACACCCAGTGTCACTCTCACCTACATGGCAAAGAAGTAACACTATTTCTTACTCCGTAACTAATAGATTTTACTTGACTCTTAGCTTTTTTTCTTAGCAAGATGCAGGTATATACTTCCACCATGTTTTTTTGTTTAGTTTTTTTAACAGTTTAGTTTTTTGGGGGCTGGGGGGAGGGGAATTGTCTTTAACAAAAACTAGCACTTTAATATTTCGAAATTGGATCAACAAATATTTGGCTACAAATTTGGCCAGATAACCAGATATCCAGACTTGACAAAAAACCTACATGGATAGATTGAAAAACTTTAAAACATTTTTATCTGTAATTTCATAGTTGCAAATAATAGGTGTAGGCAAGTCTCTGCAAAAAATAACCAAGCAACAATGAGCTGGGCCCATTAAATGGTTACCCAGCCAGAAATGAAAATACTCAAGGCATTAACGGTTTCAGTTTCTAGATAAATGTGTTTATTGACGTATTTAAATTGGCTTCAGTGGATATCTTTATTTAGTTGGTTATCTTTAACATAAAATTTGAACTCAACCTTAGACGTAAATGTTTATTAGTATGTGTGTGTGTGTATTAGTCTAAAGTTTAACTCTTCACATTTCACCCCTCTGATATGCCACTACACTGTAAAGTGCTTTCACCGGTAAGCACTGTACAGTGTAGCGGCATATCAGAGGTTAAAGGTAAAAAATATTAAAGATACTTTTACAATGTTACCTAATGGTTAGTAATCATGATTAAAATAACAACAATAACATCCAAAATAATTGCCAGCCAGTCAGGCTATACTTTGATACAGGATATGTATTAAAAACAAAGGATATTTTTTAAAATTATTTATTTGACTTAAGTATAAAAGCATTTAAAGACAAGACATTATATAGGTTTGATCTTAAAATGTAAACCAATTAGGGAGAAAACCAGACATTTAAGATCTTGAACTAAGTAGTAGAATCCACGGAGACCTTCTGGATCACGAGACTGGTTCACATCTACTAATGATCCTGTTTTGGATGTAGTAAATGAAATGTGTTCTTCACCTATAACTATCTCCAATTCCTGTAAAGAATATTTTATAATAATTATGCAGTATCCTTATACTTTTTTTATAGGTAATGACATAATTTTGTGTGGTGCTGGATTAAGAATACAGAATGTCACCACCCCTATTCATCCCATGGGTGTCGTAAGAGCCGACTAACGGACTAAACTACAAAACAACAGCACTGCAAAGAGAAGGAAAACTTGAAACAAACCCTATACCAACCTGTCTGGCCAGCGTGGTATAGTACCAAAACCTCCTTTCTAAGGAGAGACCTATGTCCACCAGTGGACTGTTAAAGGCTGTTGATGATGATGATACAATTTCCATTACTTCCTCTTTAGTTTTTAACCAACTTCATTCCCAATCAGCACTTTCAAGTTCATTGATGATTTGTTCCGAGTCTAGGTGTAATTTATCTATAATTTGCATGTATTTAGAAATATATAAGACTGTTTATCAGCAGTCTGGTTACATAGCACAGGCTCTAACTAGTTTGGAATCAGACAGCCGTGTGTGAGATGTGTAAAGTTATAATTATTATTATTGAAGATATCAAATATATTCTCATTCCCTAATGATAACTTCAAAGTTATAATTCAAATTAATTTAGTTCAGATGCAGCATTATTATGATGTGTATACCCAGTATTCAAATATTAAAAACAACTCATGCCTTGAATCGTAAGCACTCATATTAGAAAGTAAAGATGAAAGGAATAACAAATCTTAACTTGTAAGAAAAAAACTAAGAGATTGTATAAACTAATAATACAATAATATATAAAACATGCTTCTGCTTGTTTCTGCGCATGCTGGTTTTGATGTCTTGCTAGTGTTAGTTATTTGTATTAACAATTTTAAAGTACAGTTCTCAAAATAACATTTTAAAGTTGGGACTACATACCTGTCTACCAACTCTGTCTGGTTGTGGCCACAATCTGTCATCTTCATGCATTATTTCAGAGTCAACTATTATCCTCTTTAGCTCTTCCATAACACATGGGTGAACGTATGCTTCTTTACGAATCATAGTATCATTTTTGTAGTTCGAATTGTTAGCGTACCTCAATTTGCCATCAGGGCGGAATTCAAACTCTAAAAACTCATGGCCAAATTTGCCTTTGTGACCCACATAGTAACGTATATAGAAATCAGAAGACATGTTTATTTAAATTCTGAATGAATCCAGTTTTATAATTTCAAACACAAAAACGATGTGCAGCAAAACTCTGCAGCTTCTCTTCACTTTCGTGAAAGTCAATGACCGAGACGCAGATGAGCGCGGCGACCACAAAAATTGCGGTTTCTGACACAGATAATTATATACCAGGCAGAGTTTCTGACATTGATAGTACCATAGACAAATTACTAGGGTAAAGAAATTCTCAAATACAAGATTATTTTTATTGTTTGGTATTTGTGCATTGGATTACAATAAAGTTTAATCGTTTAACAATAAGTAGTTCATGTCTTTCATGTCTTAGAAAAATACTTTTTCAGTTAAAAATTTTTACACCTTATTTCCCATCCGTGAAGTTCTAACACAGTATAAGTCTTTTTTTACGGTTTCAATTATAAATAAAATTTTGAAATCATTTAATGAAGGGAGATAGAACAGTTTCATCCTCATGAAATATGATTTAATTCGATAAAATTTTACTTTATTCTTCAGTGGAAACTTGACTTGTTCTCTTGTTTGACACTGTTAGAATTTCACTGACATTTAGTAAGAGTCTGTGAAGTTCTAACCATAGAGAGAACACGGGGTTCAGGTGCCTGTAAGTGGCAGCGATACAGGCAACGACAGAGATGGATGCCCGATAGTTCCCTCTTTCTCTGTTTGGCCAAGGTGCGATTGGCTACTTATTAACCTTTCTAGAGGTATCTATCTATTATCCATCTCTCTCGTTGTCTATATTGCAAAATTGGGGCTCCTGTGCCTTTGTGCTATGCTTACATTCTATGGTAGTAATAGTGTTACCAATTTTATGATGGTTTATATAGAGACGTCCTGTAAATTTTTAGTCGATTATACTTTACCATTTATGGTAGATATAATAGCTGTACGCTAAGTTATGCTGTGGTATAGTATTAACATATTTATTTCATAACTATAATTTTCATGCCCCTGTCCTAATTTTAGTCAGGGTGAGTGTAATGTGTCCCTTTTGATTATTTTGTTATGCACATTTTAAGTAAAGATACTGAAATTTTTGCATTGTACATACGATAACTATGTCATTAACAGCCTTTAATAGTTCACTAAAATATTGGTGGAGAGTTTTTTCAAGTATTCATTCTCCTTGCGGTGCTGTTGTCCTGCGTAGTTTGCTCCCTCAGTCGACTTTTACGATACCCACGGGATGAATTTGGGTGGTGACTCTCCGTATTCTTAATCCGTCCCGACACAGATCTAAATAATGAAAAAGTGTGAAATTTATTTATTTTCGAATCTTAAAATGATTGTAAAACTTTTGAAAATTTGGCAGCATAATTAGCTTCTCATTCCCATGCAAATGTGTCCAACGATTTTTCTTATTCATCTAGAAACGTAAAAAAAAATTAAGACCTTTTTATTGTTAGGTGTACTAGCTGTATCCTGTTACGCTTCCCTGTGCCACATTGTGGTTGCTTTGATTTTAATATATTTATTTGTCATAGTCCAGTATATGCTTAATTTGGTTAACTTATAGTTCATTCTGTGCTTTGTTTGGGTGAAAACAAAAAAGATCAAAGTTTCGTGCAGAAGGAGAACAGCAAGACTGCGAAAAGCTGATGATGATGATCAAGGAAATTTGTCAAATTCTTACACAATAAAGAAATTGCATATTAGAGCACAATAACAGTAGTTTTATTTTAGGACATAGAACACTAAATAAGAGAAATTCTTTTACCTTGTATGTAATAAGTGATGTTAGTTAGTTATAGTTGTAACCTATAGTAAAGTTCAGTTTGTGCTTTGTTTGAGTAACTTTAGATAGATGTGTGTAGATATCTTACGGTAAACGTATTCCCTTTAAGTTTACAGTACTTCCTTAACCTTTACGACTTAAAGATATTTAGTAATAATGTTATTGATTACACCAGTCAATTTGCTTTCAATAATTGAAAAAGGAAGTACCTACATAAAATATTGCCAAAAAGATAGTGTCCATCTATTGTAATAAGAACTTGCGCAAAAGCCTTAAAAAGTTGTCATTCCGAATTCAAATAAGTGACAAGCCTGTTTGTAGGACTTGCATTTGTTTTTCATTGTGACCGTACGTCCGCGAACTGTCTGCTGATTTTTTGTGCAATAATATAAGTAAACCTAAACTATATAGCATTGTAATTATGTTTTGAGTTAAATTCTAAGCTAAAATTTTGCTTTAAGTGAAATTTGTCCTATTTAAAAGGGGCGGCTTCTTGACGCGGTCCTTTGTATTCTGACTCGAAATAAATATTTAATGTCTTCAAAAGACTATTTATTGGTAACAATTTACTATAAGAACTTTCGAAGAAAACATAATCTTTTGCGTCTCTGTAATATAATATCGGAGTGTACCAAAAAGCCGGTTTGAGAGGAATTCTCCTGCAGACCGCAAAATAGACTAGCAACCAAAGACTACAGAGTAGTAGTGGTTTAGAAGTTCCGTCTGTCACACCAACCTTTTCTTTTCTGACCCAGCCAAGATGGGTGAGTAGCCTTAGTGTAGTGTGTAAATAAAATACATCTAGAAATATCGTGATATTGGCTTTACTATTATGGTTATACTTATTCTAAAACTATTGCGAATTATACTATTTACAAACTTTTGTTTATATTTTGTGTAAATCATTGAAAAGTTAAATTTGTTGTGAAAAGTACGGTGGTAGATTGTCGGTGAAGTGTCATGTGAATTATATCTTTCTGTGATGCAGGTATCAGTCGTGATCATTGGCATAAACGGAGGGCCACAGGTGGCAAGCGCGCGCCCATCCGTAAGAAGAGGAAGTATGAATTGGGTCGCCCGGCTGCCAACACTAAAGTAAGCACTTGCACCTAACCTATCTTGTCATTTTCTGTTTACCATGTGTCAGTTAGTATTTTAATGTTCAGTAGCATTTATATATATACATGATTCGACTTAGTAAATAGTTTGCTTTGTTTCTACTAGAAACTCATTTACGTGTTATAGCTTGGAGCCCAGCGTATCCACTTAGTGCGTTCGCGCGGTGGTAACACTAAATATCGTGCCCTGCGCCTGGACACAGGAAATTTCTCATGGGGATCAGAATGTGAGTACTTTTAATACAGTTAATGATTTGAAACTTAATTCAGCCAAATCTTCTCAAAATTGGCTTTGGCCACAAAATTAAGCAATTTCGATAGTATTCTTTAAACATGAATGTAATTATTCAGTAAATTAAGAAAATAAGTTAATTCCCCTTGATTTGTCAAGGGGAATTAACTTATTTTCTCATTGTGGCTTAGGTTGATTAAGCATACAAATGACAGTAGTACTAAATATAAATTTGAACCCTTATCAGTTGAATTCACATCAGATTTTACAGAATTTTGTTTATTTCATTTCAGGCTCTACCCGCAAGTCCCGTATCATTGATGTGGTATACAATGCATCAAACAATGAATTGGTACGAACCAAGACTCTAGTGAAGAATGCGATTGTTGTAGTTGATGCTACACCTTTCAGGCAGTGGTATGAGTCTCACTACCTTCAGCCCCTTGGCAGAAAGAAGGGTGCTAAATTGGTGAGTTTAGAATTTTAAATACCTCATTCTCCATACAGACTTCATTTTGCTGTACTTGAACCCCATTTGCATCACATCAAACAGTGCTTGTTTTACAAATATGTGATATTTGTGTGACAATACAGTGCTGCTATGTTTCTGTCAGAAATGTCCTAACGGCTTAAAACTGGTGCTGCTTTTCTAAAGTCTGTTGTTGGATACTCCTTAATTTACTTAGTGCTATATGTGTTGGGTATACATATAGTGTATTCTAAAATTATTTGAGATACTATGGAAGTCATTTTAATAATGAACCTTTAAGATACAGTTAGCATATACATCTTAAAGGGATATTTATGGTATGGTATGGCAAATGTACGGTAGTCTGCACTATGAACTCTTTTTTCATAAATGACAAACACTGCATGTACCCTACATACCTCTATTCCTTAAGAATATGTTTACACAAGTACAGGCATACATCAAATAGTTTACTCTTTTGAATACCTTCAAGATGTGAAATTGTAATCTTTGCCTTTTATAAATACTGTGCATTGGCAGTACCTTTGAGAGATTGGCAGTTATCAACTGTACTTGCTAAAATTAATATTCCATGAAGCTACTGTTTACTAGTATGATTACATCTGCACCTATTTCCTTTTGGGAAGTCTATGTATACATAAATATTATTAACATTTTGATTCCACAACAACCTAGCTTGCTACTTATCCATGCATTTTTAAGCCAGTTTTTATGGTTGAACTATTTCTTTAAGCTAAATGTAATATTAATGATCGCAAAATAGATCAATAAACTATGGAATTAATTTTAACTAATGAAATGATTATATGTACCAAACAAACTAATTTTGATTGTGTACACAACTACTACAAATAACAATATATGAAAGTATTGAACTATAGTGTGAAATATAAATAAGAATATGTATTGTGTTTTTCTCTTTACTTTTCTAAGTTTACATTATACCCTAATGATGACAAATGCGTGTCAAATGAGGAAACAATGATTTTATTTTAGCAAAACCTGATTTTAACGAAATTTAGTAAGGAACATTTTATAGTAAAAGTCATACATATATCTATTTTCCATGCAGACTGAGGCTGAAGATGCGATCATCAACAAGAAACGCAGCCAGAAAACAGCCAAGAAGTATGTAGCAAGACAACGCACTGCCAAGGTGGAGAGTGGAATTGAGGAGCAATTCCACACTGGACGCTTGTTGGGTTGGTTTTAACTAATATTTTTCAGTTGAATATCATTGCACATACAGGTACTATAGTTAGTCCATCCAGTCTTTTTAGCATAGTATTTTTAGATTTAAATCAGTATTTATTACATTTATGTAGTCAGATATTTTCAAATAATATGCATTGTCTAACATGTTGTTATAACGTTGCATTGGGGTTCACATATTTTCAGAAATGAGTTTGACACAATGAATTAAAGTGCATGAAATTATTTCCAATGATGAAATTGAGAAGTTTTGAAACTACAATATGGACTGGTACCGTTTTGGGAACAGTCTAGTAGTTGTATGATCTACTGTCATAGTTACTCTGAGTATTTTAATCCAACCAATTTGATACATCACTACTGTGTTTGATACTAATGTGGAGAAATGTTTAACAGCGTGTGTTTCGAGTCGGCCTGGTCAGTGCGGCCGCGCAGACGGCTACATCCTCGAGGGAAAGGAGCTCGAGTTCTACTTAAGAAAGATCAAATCCAAGAGAGCGAAGTGAGAAGTGTAATGTAGAAATAAATATAAAAAAATACTACGCTTTTTATTTTACCTTCAACCTTATCCAATTTTCAATTTGCAGAAACACAATTTGCATTTTTATATCTAAACACGATAATTCGAGTACTGTGCACGTATGATATGGTGTCGTTTCGAAACTTTGTAAAATTTAGCTTGCAGATATCACGAAACAATCATTATCATCAGCATCCGAGCGTAAATCCGAGGTCCGCTTTCCGACTCATTCTCTTCCACTTCGCACGGTCTTCGGCATCCCGCGTTGAGACCATTGGCACACATCCCTTACGACGTCAAGCCAGCACTTCCCTTCTACCGGGGCCCGGCGGAGGCGTGTGCGTTACCCCAGCAAAATAATGTCGAAAATGGTCATTTAAACTTTATAGATAATTAGTTGCTCCCCTTCTGTAATTGTTAAGCACATTTTTAAATTTGTTTCACTTAAACTTTTTTAGTTATTTCAAAAAAACATTTCCTGCTGGGGTAACGTTTGAAACGTTACCGCAGCCAGACATTTTCTTTTTTAATTGTAATATTGAAATAAATTTTAGCTAAATAATTAGTTATCTGGACTAGGTAAATGTTACAACTTATTTGGTATTTGTATTTTCTTCGGATGCGAAGTTATTCGAAATCCTGCTGGAGTAACGTTTGTGGGTTTGCTGGATCTCTGAAACGGGTAAGCGGATTGTAACCATCTTTTGTACATAACTTCTTAAGGATTAGTTTTAATTTGTTCGACAATAAAATAACAAAATTAATGGACCGTTTAAAAATTATTTAGGTAAGTATGAAAACACTTCAATACGTCCTAACACTTTAAATAAGACCTCTAAAGACTTACTTGAAACGTTATTCTATTGCTTGTAACTACCTTCAAATGTATACGAATTTTCGTAATAATATTGTAAGTGACTAAAAAGTTATGATGAAATGTAGCTCTCCACGTTCACGATCACAATGTGTGCGGCCTTTTTTGTGTGCGTTACCCCAGCAAAATAATGTCGAAAATGGTCATTTAAACTTTATAGATAATTAGTTGCTCTCCTTCTGTAATTGTTAGGCACATTTTTAAATTTGTTTCACTTAAACTTTTTTAGTTATTTCAAAAAAACATTTCCTGCTGGAGTAACGTTTGAAACGTTACCGCAGCCAGACATTTTCTTTTTTAATTGTAATATTGAAATAAATTTTAGCTAGATAATTAGTTATCTGGACTAGGTAAATGTTACAACTTATTTGGTATTTGTATTTTCTTCGGCTGCGAAGTTATTCAAAATCCTGCTGGAGTAACGTTTGTGGGTTTGCTGGATCTCTGAAACGGGTAAGCGGATTGTAACCATCTTTTGTACATAACTTCTTAAGGGTTAGTTTTAATTTGTTCGACAATAAAATAACAAAAATAATGGACCGTTTAAAAATTATTTAGGTAAGTATGAAAACACTTCAATACGTCCTAACACTTTAAATAAGACCTCTAAAGACTTACTTCAAACGTTATTCTATTGCTTGTAACTACCTTCAAATGTATACGAATTTTCGTAAGAATACTGTAAGTGACTAAAAAGTTATGATGAAATGTAGCTCTCCACGTTCACGATCACAATGTGTGCGGCCTTTTTTGGCCACCGATAAACCTGTGTGTGGATATATAAACTGAATGTTATGCCAATAATTAGTTGTTTAGTTCAGTTGTCTACCTGTAGAATTTCAGCGTCGTACATATAATAATTTACGAGATAATTAAATAAAAGTCATTAGAAGGTGCAAGTCCGTGGTAATCCGACCATGTTTAGGTGGTTACAAAAAAGCGATCACCCAGTACATTGTGCTGGCTTTTAAAATATGTAGGATATTATTTGTAAGTTTACTACGGATATGTACATAAGTGTTACAAAAAACTACATGTTTTTTAAATAATTTTTATTTAGGATTGTTTATTGCATAATTAGTAATCAGCCGGGAGATTAGGTATTGTTTTGAATGCTTTTGTTTTCTCGTAATGTTTAGGTGAATTGTTTATAGTTGTTCATAGAATTGGTACTTGCGTAGTATTTGTTATTTGAAGTTTAATTTTAGGGTAGGTATAGGTAATTTAAGTTTTGAAGAGTGTAACGTACTTATGCGTTGTAAATAGGTATTTTGTGAATAGATGGGGATTTTTTAAAGTGATGAATCGACTTAGGCTAGCATATCGCGAACAAACTCTGTATTGCAATATTTCTGTAATAATGTTGGAGAAAATAAAATATTTGATCACAAAATCGCGGTGAGTTAAATTATAATAAAATAAATTATTTATGTAAAATTAGTAATAAGTGATATACCTACCTACAAGTTATGATCGTTTTTAATTTGTTCACCCTGAACAAAATTTCAATATTGGCATTAGTAATTAATATCCTAAGACAAGAATTGACAATTACTTAAAAGAATCGAATTAGCATTAATGCCCATTATTAGTAATTAGGTACACACATATTGAAGAACTCTCAAGAATACGATAAATATTTGCAAAAATAGAAAGCGGAAGCGCACACGTACTTTACAACACGTATATTATCTGCCTAAGGGTCAAGTTTAGTGCACGAGATGCAAATTGCAAACAATAAAGTATCCCTTCGCCACTCCCCTCCCGCGTTCTAGCGAAGGATGTATTATCAGCGATTCTTGATTGACAAATATTATCTGACCAATAATTTTATCTATAAAAATGTATCACTTTCACTCGATAAATTAAATTACCGTTATTATATCAAAATATCATTCAACAACTGTTCGTTTTTAACAGAAATCAACAGTCACGGGCTCAACGCTTAACGGTAGGTACATAGGTATAGATAATTCTCGGTTCTCGGTTTCTGTTAATATTGTTCTGTTAATATTGTTCTGTGGTCTGTACCACAGAACAATATTACCTACTCTTACGAGGTATACGACTGTTGGGCGATGCAATGTTGATGCATTCTAATTTACAACTGTATTCTTCTATTATTCGGTCTATTTTAACTTATTGTAGATGACTTGTTGCTTTAAATATTTTGATGCATTCAAGTTTAAGCTCTATCCCAAAATAAAATACAATTACTTTAGTGTTATTTCTTTACAAAAAAAAATCAAAGAAATGAAACGATTTCTTATTGGTTTAAATTTTCGATTTATTGCAGTCAGGTGAATCGTTCATACATGTATCTACATATTTATAATTTTAGCGGACCAGTGCAGATTTTCTGTTGATTGTAGCTCCGGTAGTAAAAAAGACTAAAGAAATTTTAAGTAAAGGAACTAGTGCTTAAGATCATTTAGGGAAAAAACAAAATAAATAATAGGTAATAATAATGAATAAATATTGAATGTATTTAACACTGTACGCAACTGTACCGAAATCGTAAGGTGTATTACACTAAAAATTTTAAAAGACAGCCCAATGTACTGGGTGATCGCTTTTTTTGTAACCACCTAAACATGGTCGGATTACCACGGACTTGCACCTTCTAATGACTTTTATTTAATTATCTCGTAAATTATTATATGTACGACGCTGAAATTCTACAGGTAGACAACTGAACTAAACAACTAATTATTGGCATAACATTCAGTTTATATATCCACACACAGGTTTATCGGTGGCCAAAAAAGGCCGCACACATTGTGATCGTGAACGTGGAGAGCTACATTTCATCATAACTTTTTAGTCACTTACAGTATTCTTACGAAAATTCGTATACATTTGAAGGTAGTTACAAGCAATAGAATAACGTTTGAAGTAAGTCTTTAGAGGTCTTATTTAAAGTGTTAGGACGTATTGAAGTGTTTTCATACTTACCTAAATAATTTTTAAACGGTCCATTATTTTTGTTATTTTATTGTCGAACAAATTAAAACTAATCCTTAAGAAGTTATGTACAAAAGATGGTTACAATCCGCTTACCCGTTTCAGAGATCCAGCAAACCCACAAACGTTACTCCAGCAGGATTTCGAATAACTTCGCAGCCGAAGAAAATACGAATACCAAATAAGTTGTAACATTTACCTAGTCGAGATAACTAATTATCTAGCTAAAATTTATTTCAATATTACAATTAAAAAAGAAAATGTCTGGCTGCGGTAACGTTTCAAACGTTACCCCAGCAGGAAATGTTTTTTTGAAATAACTAAAAAAGTTTAAGTGAAACAAATTTAAAAATGTGCCTAACAATTACAGAAGGGGAGCAACTAATTATCTATAAAGTTTAAATGACCATTTTCGACATTATTTTGCTGGGGTAACGCACACGCCTTTTTTGGCCACCGATAAACCTGTGTGTGGATATATAAACTGAATGTTATGCCAATAATTAGTTGTTTAGTTCAGTTGTCTACCTGTAAAATTTCAGCGTAGTACATATAATAATTTACGAGAAAATTAAATAAAAGTCATTAGAAGGTGCAAGACTGTGGTAACCCGACCATGTTTAGGTGGTTACAAAAAAGCGATCACCCAGTACATTGTGCTGGCTTTTAAAATATGTAGGATATTATTTGCAAGTTTACTACGGATATGTACATAAGTGTTACAAAAAAACTACATGTTTTTTAAATATTTTTTATTTAGGATTGTTTATTGCATAATTAGTAATTACTAATAATACTGATTATAATCAGCCGGGAGATTAGGTATTGTTTTGAATGCTTTTGTTTTCTCGTAATGTTTAGGTGAATTGTAAGTTGTTCATAGAATTGGTACCTGCGTAGTATTTGTTAATTGAAGTTTAATTTTAGGGTAGGTATAGGTAATTTAAGAAATATGAAATGAAATGAAATGAAATGAAATGATAAGTTTTGAAGAGTGTAACGTATGCGTTGTAAATAGGTATTTTGTGAATAGATGGGGATTTTTTTAAGTGATGAATCGACTTAGGCTAGCATATCGCGAACAAACTCTGTATTGCATTATTTCTGTAATAATGTTGGAGAAAATAAAATATTTGATCACAAAATCG